TTGTACCTCCCTGGTGCTTTTTATGTAGCTTGTTGTGAAACTAGATATCTAGATAAATTGAGGCACCCCCGGAAGACATGGAGTCACGCCTGGAGTGTGCCCCTCGGTTAGAACCACTAAGACTAGTGGCCTTCCCCTTGCTCTATTGCATTAGCCTTTGCCCTGATAAATATGCCCCATGGACACATACAAACAACTCCCCCTGAAATCAGTAGATATTGCAGACTTGTATAGCTAATGGGACAACACAGGCCTGTAGTAGCTCCTACTTACCTTGATCCACAGCATCATGTGCTGTGTGTAGGTTGTGTGCTCAGGTTATTTATATTACCAGTCTCTCTTTATTGTGGTTGCAGGAGAGATGAGAAAGCAGCAACTGTGGTATCGCGAGGATCGTGTGGCCAGTTGCAGGCTAGCGCTTTGTGTGGGGATTTTCCTGATCTTGTTTGCAGGCTAGAGGGCTCTGTAGGGATATGGGAGCCTCGCAGATGGACTCCAGTAAGGTGGGGTGAGTTGCTCTGCTCTCTCTTGGGGAAGCAGCCTGTTCTGTCTCTTTAAAAAAAAAAATGTGGGTGTGTTATCGTTCTGGAGGCAACACACTAAAGCGATGACGGTGCCACCTGCCAGCAGAAGTATCTGCTAGCCATGAGCCAGAACCATGAATCACATTTAAAAATAATGGCATCTTCTGGCACGGAGGCCTAAGCAAAGGCACATGCATTAGCAAGGAAGAGGGAGGCCCAGAAATTGAAGCCATCAGAATCCAAAACTCTTGGGCTTTGTTTGCACTGTGAGTTTTTGCAGCAGACAATATGCTAATGAGGGACTTATTAGCATAAGTAGGGATATCATTAGCATATTATCTGCCATTTCTTTTTACCCAAGGGGTTTTTGCGCAAAAAGAAGCAGTGTAGCTGCTTCCCTTTTGCGCAAAACCCCCATTTTGCACAAGCTCTTTATGCCTCTCCGGGGGTTTTGCGCAAAACAGAAGTGGCTACACTGCTTCTTTTTTCCCCAAAACCCCTTGCGCAAAAAGAAACGGCAGAAAATATGCTAATGATATCGTGACTTATGCTAATGAGTCCCTTATTAGCATATTTTCTGCCACAAAAACTCGCCATGTATACAAAGCCTTGTTCTTTATTTCCTGTATGTGGGAGGGGCTTGGAGCCCCAATTCTGGACGGTGCTGGGTGCTGTACAGACTATAGAAAGAGCTGAGCTAAAATGCACAGTTCCTCAAATGGTGAAGCTCCAGGAACAGCATAGACAGCGCGCTGGAGTAGAACACTTGGGTTCTATTCCTCACTCTATTCCTACTCTTGGCCTTCACAACATCCCCCTCCTCCTCCTCTCCAGGCCGATGGTTTCCCTTTATCTTGCCTATTTGGACTGTAAGCTCTTTGGGGGGAGAAGCAAAAAGGGAAAAAAAACCACCAGCAAACCCTAACCCCGTGCAGGGACAGCACAAGGTCAAGGCGCTGGATTGGCTGTGTTCGTACAGCACCTTGCACTGGGGTAACCAAACAACCCAATGCCACCAGGCGCCTCTGCTAAGAAAGGACCTAGCCCACTGGGATCCTGACCCAGGAGTGGGGCTCTCAGCTGGCCCTGCAGTCTAATTAATACCAGGGTGAATGAGAATCCCGCTCTTGGGATTTTCACCAAGACGTCCCATGAACAGGGAAAAGCAGCGTATGGCTTCCCAGGTGGAAGGGCGTTCCCAGGCCCTGTTTGGCAGCACGGGGGGGGGTTTGGGGGGGACTGGTAATTGCGGCTTTTGTTACATGAAGCACAAAAATGGCATTGTTGAAAAGGGAGGCAGTGGGGAGGGGTGAGTCCTTGAAAATACAAGGCAGAAGGAAAGAAGATCCTCTTCCCAAAGAAATTATCTCTTGGCTGACTGTTCCTGAGCCTCCTATTCATTCACTTCGGCTCTGGGGGTGCAATTTCTTTCCCCGGGACACACTGGTTCCTAATAAACAGTTACCAAAATATCTTCTCACAGCAAAATTGCAGGAAGAAGCACTTGTGGGGGGGGGGGGGGTTTTTCCCCCCCCCCCCCTCCAGACAGCGCGTGTGTAACTGCGCAGGCTACTGCTGACAACAAGAAATGAGTCCACTTAGGGCTTATGGATATTGCTCCTGAAGATAAGCACTGCATGCCAGGGAGCAGAGGGAATGGAGGGGTGGGGGTGGGACATACTCCTGGGGTAAAGATCAGGGCAAGGCAACTGTGGCGATGAAATCCCATCTAGGGAGTGACAATCACACACCCATCCGTGCAGGGTGACTTTCACCCAAAGTGTTTTGGGGCCTGGCTGCTCTAGACACGCTGAGACGCTTCCTGGCTCTGCCTAGCATCCTCACTGCGGATCAGGAGCGCTTTGTGCCAGGCGCTGCACGGATGCCTAGTGAGATGGGCCTTGATGACCCAAAGAGTTTGCAGTCTCAATCAACCGGGCAAAGGAGGAATTAATAATCCCATTGTTCAGATGGAGAAACTGAGGCCTCAGCACAAGGCAGTGACTTGCCCAAGGTCACCCTTGGCCCGGGGGCAGAGCCCGGAACGGATGCTACGTCTGCTGAGTTCTAGTCCGATAGATAGATAGATGGGGGGAATGGGGATAGATAGATAAATGGGGGGGGATGGGGATAGATAAAATAGATTGGGTGGATAGGGATAGATAGATATTTTACTTCATTTTCTGCCCTCGAGTGCTGCTGTGTTAAACAGCTGCCACATTCCAACCCAGAGGTGGCTGCCTCGTGTTAGTGGCCACATAGCGGTTGGAGATGAAAAGCACACAGGAGATTATTCAGGCCACAGCCCCTGACGGGCGCCGGCCGATCACAGCTGTGGCCTGGAAGGATGAATTTACAAGGCCCTTCCTATTTGGCAGCAAGTGCCTGTGAAGAACCAATAAATCAGCAGCAAGAAGACATCACCATGCCGGGGAGAGGAGCGGGAGTCTGCATGGTGGAGATGCCTCTCCGGTGCTGCCTTTCTGAGCCCAGAACAACGCCAGCCGAGCCCAGGCCCAGCAGACGGACACGGGACCAGCCGAGCCGACGTTCTTCCCACCCCTCACCAGCGGCTCGATTCGTTCCTCTCCAGCCTGGAAAATTCTCTTGAGAAGCCAGCCTGGGAACCTGGTGCTTCCGTGCAGGGGCCTTTGGTTCAGGATGCCCTACACCAGACAATAAGCTAGGGGCAGCATCCGGCCCCCAGACCTAGGTTCCCCACCCCTGGGCTGAAGGATTCCCACGGTCCTTTCTCCTCTAAAAATCTGGGGGTGCCTCTCACCTCTGTGGGGGTGCAGGCGGCCATCCTGCGGCGTGGTTGCAGTTACCTGCACTGAGGGGGCTTTACTCGTTTATTCACTTTGCACGGGGTGCAATTCGTGAGGGCCTGACTCTGCGCCTGGCCTCTCCCTCGTGCAGCGACGGGCGTGCAAAAGTGCAACCCGCAGCACGTTAGCCCCCACCTGTGCGGGCCTGCCCGCCGGAGAACCGGGCCTGCTCTCGGAGACGTGCTGCAACACACGGCGTCATGTCGGGGTCTGGGGTCGCGACGGGGGTTGCATGATGCACCCAGCCCCGGCTGGAGCAGGCTGGGAATTGTTCAGGAGGAAAGCCGGACAGGGGCAGAAGTGGGTGATCTCTAAAAGGGGGGGAGGGGTCTCTCTGCAGCTGCATTACACGCTACTACCCACACTGACATTTTTGCCCAATTCCCAACAGTTTCATCCTTTCAAAAGAGGGGGACTGGGACATGCTGCTTGCAGACTAGACCAGGTTGGCACTGGCCAAAGGTGCCGGTTAGTGGCCTGCCTTGGATGGGTGCTTGTCTGTGAGGAGACGGCCGGAGACCCAGTAGCCTTAGGAGGGAAATGGGACATGAATTGCTTGCTTCACCCTAAATCTGGCCCATGCGGAGTAACCCACTGGGGTACATGGGCTCAGTCCCCCTTCCCCTCCTGGGAGCACACCGTAGCAGCTGATGCTTTTAGCTGCGGAGGTCCCGCGGTCAGCCCTGGGTGTGGTGGCTGAACTGGCACCCGTCTCCTTGCCACATGCTCTACCAAGAGCGGGCCAGGCCCTAGCAGAGACACACCTTCCGAGGCTCTTGCAGGAACAGCAGTGAGCCAGCGCCGTGGGGACATGACAGCAGCTTTCGAATACAGTTACAAGGAGGAGGGGGAGAAATGATTCTCCTAAACCCCTGGGGCTAGGACAAGAAGGGGAAGTTACTCACCTGGGAAGAACTTCCTGCCTGTCAGGGTGGTTAAACACGGGAATAAATTGCCCAGGGGGGTTGTGGAATCTCCATCCCTGGAGATATTTCAGAGCAGGTTGGACAGACACCTGTCAGGGATGGTCTAGATGGTGCTTGGTCCTGCCGTGAGGGCAGGGGACTGGACTCAATGCCTCTCGAGGTCCCTTCCCGTCCTCGTGTTCTGTGATTACATCGCAGCTCGCAGCCGGGATACAAAGGCAAAGTTGCTCCTGTGCTTGGAGCGAGAAATGCCGCTCCCAGGGCTGCAGGAGGCTCCGCCGGTGACGGCCCAGCGCCTGTTGTTTCTGTTCACCCAACAGCCCTTTGTTTCGCCTGCCGGTGAGTGACATCACAGTGCGCCTGAAGCCTAGGGACGGGACTGGACTCCCTGGGCAGGGAGGATTTCCAGGTGAGACTGTCAGAGTCAAGACTTGAATCGAACCACTGGAAATGCAACACCTCCCCCCCATTTCTCCCGGCCCCTGTGCGCTTTGGATGAAACCCAGCGGATCGTTTACCCACCTTTCTGCCCAAAAAGTGACCGGGCTTTTTGTGACTAGCACATGAGCTTTGCCAGAGTACGACAGGGGAGAGGGACGGGGGTCTGCGCTGCTCTCCCCAGGACACAGTTAGGAAAGCAGCTAATTTCAGGGAGGTTATAAAGCGGGGGCGGGGGGGGGGGGGAAAAGAGAGAAAGATCTGGAATCATTTCCAATCTGAGAGTTGGTCAGAGGGACTTTTAATGAGCTTCCGAACATACAGGCCCAGATCCTCAAAGGGACCAGAGACGATTACACCAAGACAGAGGCTGCGAGAGCCCCCCCTGCCTTTACCGCAGAGGGACCCGCACACAGGGAGCTGGGGATTCTGGGCAGGCCAGTCGCGTGTATGAAGAGACAGAAGCAGCTGGATTTTCAAAGGCGCTGGGCACCCACACGTCCTCAGGCCGGGGGAGCTCCGCCCCTTCGAGCGGGGGTTACGTTCTGCCTGGATCCACGACTGCGTCCCCTTCCTGTGGTGCTGCCTCGCCCCGTTCAAGCGCCGAGCCGGGGGGGCGCTGAGGAGGCGGAGATCTGGGGCGGCGAGGCGGAGGGCAGCTTGCGCGTTGACTCTCCTGCACGTGACGGATCCCAGAACCGAAGGAAGCAGACGAGCCCAGTGGAGGCCCAACCTGCCATGGTCCGTCTGGGAGCATTGGGGGGGGAGGGAGTGGGTGGCGCCCCCCCCATTCACCGCCTGCTGCTCGACCTCGCTGCCGCTTGAACGGTCTCGGGGCCCCGGCCACGGAAGCCGGACGCGGAGATTTCCTCCAGGAAGCTGCCAAGCAGAGAGTCAAAGTTAGTGGGGCCCGGAGGCAGCATTTCACTCTCCAGGCAGCAGCGGGCATCGAGCCTTCGACACAAGCGCCCAGCTTGGCGCCTACTCTCAGCCCCCCGGGGGTCCCCACCGTGCATCTGGGGAAACTGAGGCACAGAGAGAGGCTTCTATCCCCAGGCAGGGCCAGGAATAGAAGGCAGGAGTCCCAGGCCCAGTCCCCAACAATGCCCCACCTCAATAGCATGGTTCCTCCAGACCCGCTGCTCCCTGTCCAAGGGGAGGCACAGGCGAGCTGGGTCAGTGGGCGGAGAAGAGGTGGGTGCCGAGGGAGGCCCATGGTTTGCCTTCGCTGCGGAGTGCGCCCAGGTCTGGACTTGCCACGCCAGCCTGCGAGTGCCTGAACGACCCCTGGGTCCCCACGAGGCCTGCGGGGATCAGGGGCTTGGCTCTAGGATTTCTGGGGGCAGATCTTCCCTCTCCCCACTCCAAAGGCCCCCTGGGGGATTGAACCCCGGAGACACACGGACGTGCAGAGCCCCCCCGCTGGCGTACCCCGAGTGCCACACCAGGCCTGGGAGCTGACAACCAGCCAACACCGTAAAACCAACGGATGCGCCCACTCAGCCCCACGCTTCAGAATCAAAGCAGCAGAGCTCCGGCCTCTGTCCTCCGCCGGCAATGACCCGCAACTCCCCCAGATCAGGGCAGCCTCCCCTCATCCCCCCGGCTCTGCCCCTGCCCGCCCCTGCCAGCCGCCACTTGCTAACAAAGCCAGGAAACAGCTCGCGCTGGCTCAGCCCATGCGGCGGATGGAGCAGGAAGCGGCAAGGGCTGTAACCTCCGGCTAATGCTTCCTTGACATTTCACGCTCGGGGCTGGCGGGGTTCCTGGGAGGGGAAGCCCTCTGGCTAGGGGCCACGGCTCCTCGGCTCACGTGCCAGCCCCTCGGACACAAGGCAAGGCTCTCTTGGCCTCCAGGCCATTCACAAGCCTGCGTGCTCAAGCTGCAGATCACTGGGTTGGATTTAAAGCGTGGTCAGCCTCTTTGGGCACCCGGCCATTAACTCAGCTGCAAGTCCTGTTGCAAAGAAGCACCCAGTTCAGCAAAAGATTTAAGCCCGTGCTTAAAATGATCCCTAGTTGGCAAAGCACGAACAGAGGGGTCTGGCTGGGGAGTTTAAGTCTAAGGGCAGCTGAGTGCCTAAATCCCTTAGGCAACGTTAAAAAGCCCCCCGACTTCAGCATGCTCTTAAAGTCAAGGGTGCAGGTAAGTGCCAGGGAAGCCAAGGAGACACACGCAGGTACCCGAACCCCCTCCAAAACCAGGACCATTAAGCCAGGCTCGTTAAGAGATCACATGCAGATGAGGAAATAATAAAGCCAGCTGAAAAGTGAAACCCCTGAGCCTTTCGCTGAGCCCAGACAAAGGAAGGGCTTCGGGAGCATGCCCTCACTGCTGCGTGCCCAGAAACCATGACGACGGGCAAGGCCCATGCACCTGCACAGAGCCGAGTCGGTTCTCTGCGTGCCCAGAAACCATGACGACGGGCAATGCACATGCACCTACACAGAGCCGAGTCGGTTCTACTCCTGCCCCTGGGCCGCGCATGCCCTTGGTATCTCACTTCTCCCTCTAGCTCTCAGCCCGCCCATCTGCCCCGCGGGAGAGAGAAGCTGCCCCTCTTGCCCGAGGGCTGGATTTTCTGAAGCACGTGGTACAGGTTGAACTTCAGCAGGGGCGAGGCCGTGCAGATGGCATTCACCGTTGCCAAGCAAGGCAGATCGGGACTGGTCAGTGTGTGACGGGGTGCCCACTGTTCCCAGCTGAGATCAGGCCCCACCGGGCAGGGCGCTGCCTCCAGTAGCTGGCAGACACGATCAGCTGGTCTGAAGAGGGGCTCTCCAAACCCTGAAACATGCCCCTGCTTTCGGGGTAAAGGTTTGCGCCTCTTGAGAGTCACTTAGCAGCCAGGAGAAAGCAGCAGTTCAAAAGAGGAGGTTGCTGGGGGAGGGGGTCGGGGAGGCTGTATAATGGGTGTGTCCACATTAGCTGCAGAAGCAGGTATAGCGCACATGGGTGCATGTTAGAGCCAAGCAGACTTTATTCAAGACCCAGTCAGGCAGCATCATCCATCACAAATCACAGGGAAGAGTAATCTGGCCGAGCGCTAAACCTTGGGAACGCATTGGTTGAAATACGTAAGGACGGGAGATTTAATTCAATCCTTTCAAGAAAAACAAAACTCCCGAAGCATAATGGGCTAAAGCCACTTGCATTATTTGTGTGTCATGAAAGGCTCTTTTCTGGCTCCTGAAGTATCTAGAGGCTGTGTGGTCTAGTGGGGAGGGCACTGGGCCAGGCCTCAAGAGGCTAAGCCCTTCAGAATTAAAGATACAAGCACTCTGTTCCCAGCTCTGCCACTGAGCTACTGGACAATCTTGGGCAAGTCACTTCCCTGCTCTGTGCCTCAGTTTCCCCACCCATCTTTTGCTAGGATCTCTTTGAGGCAGGGGCTGTGGCTGTGAAGCACCCAGCCCAACAGGGCCCTGGTCTCAGGCAGGGGTCTCTCGGCACCATAACAATACAAACAACAATAGCACAGCATGGCATCTGGATTACAATTGTCCTCCCAGCCCCTGTATAAGACACGGAAGGAAAGTTCTCCCCACTGTACAGATGGGGAACGGAGGCACAGAGTTGGCTACCATCACAGGGGAGTCTGCAGCAGAGCCAGAAACTGAATCCAGATCTCCTGAGGCCTAGTCTAGTACCAGAAGCAAAAAAAGTCCTCTTTTACGCTCTCTGGTCGGCCTCCCCCCACCACAGACACACAGGCGCGAAGCAGGGCCGACAATGAGAAACTTTATGCAGAAACACTGCTGCTTGGTGGGGCCTGTCTCCTACTAGCTGTGGAACAGCAAAGGAGAGAAAATACCTAACACCGCAGCACACAACGCCATTTCACTGTGCACCTTCCAGCCAAACATCTCACAGGCGATTCCTTCAGACGCGCCACTCCGCTGCCAGCCGGCTTTCACTGCCCCGCCTAGAAACCTGAGCTACCCCGGGGAGAAGTGACTTGCCCAAGGTCGCATGACAAGCAGTAGCAGAGGTCTGATTAAAACCCAGGAGTCCCACCTCCCAAGTCCCTTGCTCTGACCTTGAGGCAACACTGCCCCCAAGTGGGTGGAGCTGGAGAAGAATCATGTGATTAGGATACAGTGGTGTGCCAAGGACAGATCCCTTCAGCCCTGTACGTCTGCACGAAGGACAGCAGCAACATGCAATGCCCGGCACCATCTCTACGCTCTGGGTTGATTCACTCCCTCAAATGTGCTGATCAAGTCACTTGTAGGGTTAAATGTCCCTTAAAAAGTCAAGTGACACTGCAAAAAAAGCCTCATGTGGAAACATTCTTCCCCCAAAGGGAGCGGCAGAGGCCGGCACTGCCTGCCAACGTTGTGAATCACGAGGCTTTGAAATCAGGCACCGAACCAGATGCAAATGCCTGCACCATTTTCCGCCCTGCTGTCTGGAGTGGGCACCGTCCCGACTGACAGCAGGCAGCGCGGGACCCACGCACGCAGTGGCCACTCGGTTCTTTCAACGCAGCAGCGCGGTTCCACCTACCGGGTTTATTTTAAGGTATTAAAGGCAGCAGATGGAATCCATTAAAAAAAAAAATCACAGGGAAGGATCGCTTTTCTTTTTAAAGGGGACTCTGATTCGCCGGCTTGTCCCAGAGGGATGGATTCACAGCTGGGCTAACTCCCCTTCATGCCAGAATGGGCCCCTTGACAATCTCCCCACGGAGGGGCTGGCTGGAGAGCCCTGCTCCCAGCCCCCAGAACGGAGGGTGGATCGGGGGGCAGCCAGTCTGGCGGGTGGTGGCTATTCTCCACTCCCTGGGAATCAGAGAGCCTCTCAGAGCAGTGTGGATGTTGCTCCGACTCTTTGCTCCAACTTCTATTGGGGGCAGGGAGGTCTCTGCCCCAACCAAGAGTTCAAGGAGCACAAAGGCATCTTGAAGCCCCAGATGCAGGGACAAAGCCACTGAGAAGCAGGCCCCTGGAGCTATGAAGAGCCCAAGCCTGTTAAAGCAGGGAGCTGGGCAAAGATGTGCCCAGTGCACGTGCCTTTAGCCGCACGCTTACTGCTCCGTCCCTAGAGCATGTCTGCAGGCCAGCCTAACCCGCCTTCTGGCTCCCTAGCGAAGGGGAAACCCTCCCTGTGAATTTCGTTAAAAGGGGGAAATGCAGTAGGGGGCGCTCCTCCATCCCCGTCAGACTGACCGCAGGCGGGGCGGGCCGGGGGGAATTGGTAGAGGGGGCTTTCTCTGGAGTCAGTGCTGACTCCAACACTCAAGCAGAGAGATGCTATTGGAGCCAGAGGGGCAGACTTTTGGAAATTAGGTAAAGCCACTAGCCTATAGATAGATGGGAACAGTATGAGACAGAACATTAGACTCCAGTGACCCAGCCAAATTCCATATCAGGTAGCTCTAGTCTAACTGACTGCCACTTATTTCAGTTGCATACAACACCTCCCTTCAATCCCTGCCCAACACCTCTGACCAGCGTTGCACGTGGCTGTTAAACAGCTGACATGTTCCACCCCAGAAGTGGCTGCATTTCAATGATGCGTGAAGGACTCGAGTGCATGATTTAGATCTAGTTTTAGAATCTTTCAGGATGGGATGCCGTATATAAAGCCCAAGACATTTTCATGACAGCTTGGGTCTTATTCAGTGGAAAGGATTCACACCGAATCCTGCAGACAGCTGTAGAGATTGTTAAGAGTGAAATTCAGGCCTGGAACCATGCCAGGCTGAGACATTTGCCTGCACCACAGTAAATAAAATTAAATAAAAAAAGACTAAATTATGCATATATATAAAAAAAGAGGATCTACCATTAATACCCCAAGCTTTTCAGCCCTTCCATTACTGTTCATTATGCTAAAGAAAGCAGCAGATGGGAACTCTAGTCAGAGACTTATA